GTGCTAAAACTACTAATTTCTCTCCTTCCTCCTATTCTTAAAACTTAAATCTTTACCTTTTTCTCTCTTATTTACTTAAGAAACTTAGTAAGCAGTATGCCAGTTGTATTATTACACCTGAAATTTACTGTTTTATGTCAACTCTGAGTGAAATTTTTGTGCCGTTATTATAACTTGTGTTTTTATGCATATAATAATTGTTATTAATATTTGTATGTTTATTCTGGTCATATATCTAAAATAAATTACTTTATTTTGAGAAATCTGACAAGACCACAAGTTCTTTTCACATTCATGATCAGAGGGGTGTTTCATGACTTCCTAATTTCATTTCTTCCAAGGTCTTGCTGGATTACATTTATGAAAATAGGCTGGCCCTGATTTCATTAAGAGTAATTCCTACAGTGAGCACCAAGCAACAGCCCTAGGTTCTCCCCTGAGAACCAGAACAAACATTTTATGTGTGACCCTGTGTGTAAGTGTACAGTACATTCCTCCCTGTAGTTTGTGTTGTTGGTGGGTTTTCCTGGTGAAAGCAGCACTTTGAACACATTAAATCTATGTCATGTTTTTAAAGTATGAAGTATTTCTCTCTTCTTCATGTCTGTGTTATTTTTGTTCTTTCCTCCTCCTCAGGGTCTGGAGAGCTGTCTGAAGGGACCGGACAATTACAACAGCCAGGTTTTAATTGAAGCCACCGTCATCGCTCTGACCAAGCTGCAGCCTCTTCTCAGCAAGGTATAACTATACATTTACTACAGGAAATACCAGTAAATACTGTTCAGTGTGTCCTATCAGCCCTGACCCAGTCTGACCCACAGAGTGTGTGTTTGCAGGACTCACCGATGCACAAAGCTCTGTTCTGGGTGGCAGTAGCTGTGCTGCAGCTGGATGAGGTCAACCTGTACTCTGCTGGGACGGCCCTCCTGGAGCAGAACCTCCACACTCTGGACACCATGCGTGTCTTCAACGACAAGGTAGAGTGGCTGTGACTGTGAGTCAGACAGAACCGGGTCAGAACTCAGAATCCCTTCATGCTGCTCTGACCCTGCAGCTGAATGTGACACTCAGTGGGGCCAGTCCTCAGGCCTGGACTAAATATGACCTGAAGCTTTAATAACTGTCTGCTTCTGGTTTCATATCAGCGTTTAGCTTTGGTTTGCAGGAAAATATATTAAAGAAAATTTCTAAACAGGATTCAGATCCTGGTCTTCCTCATGAAGCACCTGCTTCTTCATGTCTCCTGTGGTCGTCAGCACAAACCAGACAACATAACGTTCACATTTGATCAGAGTTGTAAAGTAACTAAGTACAAATACTTTGTTGCTGTACTTAAGTAGAAATTTCGGTTATCTGTACTTTACTTGAGTAATTATTTTTCAGCGTAATTTTTACTTTTACTCATTACATTTTTACACAATTATCTGTACTTTCTACTCACTACATTTTTTTAAAAAGGTAAGAAGTAGAAAGTCATTACAACTATTTTATTCTGAGTTATTACTTTAAAAATACTGTCCTGATAAATAGTGTCTCCTGATAGAGTGAATTTAATTGTGGTTGGATGAGAAGTATAAATATATACCATTTTGACACACTATTAGCTTGTASACAACCCATCACAGCTGCACGCTGTTAGAAAAAACATTTTTTTGGAGAAGTCACCTCCCAATAAATGTCATGTAGGAAAATCTAACTGCTCACTTTTACTCAGTACTTTTACTTTTAATACTTAAGTAGATTTTGTGTCAGAAATTTACTTTTGATACTGAAGTACAAAAAATATCAGATACTTTAAGACTTTTACTCAACTAATATTTTTAGAGAAGACTTTAACTTTTACCAAAGTATTTTTATGATAAGATACTTGTACGTTTACTCAAGTATCACTTTGAGGTACTTTATGCAACACTGCATTTGATCTTACAGAAACACCATTTGTTCTCATTATCCATGGAGAAATAAATATGCAGAGCACACGGGTTGATAAAAATATTAATTTAGTTCCAACAAGGTTGTAAGAAAATTAAGTGTTTATTAACTGAAATCGAGATGAAACCACATAAATGTTGAATAGATTTAAATGTGAAGAGCATGAGGACCGTACAACACCAGTGACTGGAAATGAACGGAGGTTTAATGTTTTCAGTGCAAGCAGGAAACCCACGCTGAATGAAAAACCGGCCTGCTACGCCCACTACTGGCCTACGGCTGAATCGCAGGCACTCTGAATAGCAATGCTCTCCTAATGTTTTATAAACGGTTTCTAATGTGTTGTGATAATGTTTCGGGCATTTATCTAAACTATTTTAATCAAGACATAACAATAGTTAAACAATGGATAATAAAAGTCAATACTTACGGAAAACTAAGAAAATAGTGTAGTGCTTTTAAAATCAGTTTCTAACATGACTAATAAATTTCTTTAAGGTGATAAATAAAGAGCAGCCGAAGCCAAAGGACATATCTGAAAGACCTTCAGGACATTTGGAGAACTGTTGATCCAAAACATTTAGCAGATTATATAACAGCCTGACTGGATTGAAAATAGAAATTAGAAGATGCTTCCAATTTTTGCACATTACTGTGAAGTAGAGGTCAAACAAGTGTCTCTGATCAACATGTCAACATGTTACTAACATTTGTGAAGTAATAATAGTTTGTTAAATGTTTTACTTTAAGATTTCATCCAAAAGAGAAAAGTTTAGAACAGATGAAATAAAATAATTTGACACCAGTGTTAGCATTTTAAACATTTTTTAGTATTTCAGCCAAATGTTACACTCTGTTAACAATATATGCTACAGAAGCTAATATCTGCTAACCTATTCAAAAATTACCAGAGATTATATCAGCTTTATAAGATTATTTTAATTTAAACTGTTACATTGTTAGCTTCAGTTCTGTTTGGATCACAGAGATAAATGAGATATAATCTGCAGTTTCTCCCTGTTCATCCATAGCACACAGCTTCCTGACATTTTTATATAGCTTATATACATTATAATAAATAAAGTCTTTACAGACCTTTAATCTTTGGGTTTCTGTAAAGTCCCGGCACATCTTCAAGGTCCCGATAGTTCTTTAAGGTCCCAGCAGATCTCTACATACCCTGGTACTGTGATGATGAGACATTGTTGATATATTGTGTAAATATAAAGTTTTCTTCATCGTCTGCACACATTTTACTATGTTACCATTAAAAAAAATAAAGATGTCCTTATGATTGATGGTCTTCAGCCAATCCAGACTTTTTGTTTCCTCCAGAGTCCAGAGGAAGTGTTCATGGAAATCAGGCGTCCTCTGGAGTGGCACTGCAAGCAGATGGATCATTTTGTGGGCCTCAACTTTAGCGCTAACTTTAACTTTGCTCTGGTGGGCCACCTGCTGAAAGGTAAGGTGAATCATTGGCTCATCAACACTGGTCAGAAAAACAATCATCACTGTAACAAATGTCTGCAGTGTGTAAATAAATACTTTAATACTTCACAACAATGTGTAACAGTGGTTATGCTAATTAACATTCGCTCAGGTTTATTTAGCATATGTTAAATTTCAATTAGCATATGTTCAGCTTTATCTACTATGTTTTCTACTATGTTCAGCTTTATTTAACATATGTTCAGTTTTATTTGACATATATTCAGTTTTATTTGACATATATGCAGCTTTATTTAATATATTTTTGGGTTAATTGAACTACACTCATCTTTATTTAACATATATTCAGTTTTATTTAACATATGTTCAGTTTTATTTAACATATGTTCAGTTTTATTAAACATATGTTCAGTTTTATTTGACATATGTTCAGTTTTATTTAGCATATGTTCAGTTTTATTTAACATATGTTCAGTTTTATTAGACATATATTCAGTTTTATTTGACATATATTCAGTTTTATTTAACATATGTTCAGTTTTATTTAACATATATTCAGTTTTGTTTAACATAAATTCAGTTTTATTTAACATATGTTCAGTTTTATTTAACATATGTTCAGTTTTATTTGACATATGTTCAGTTTTATTTAACATATGTTCAGTTTTATTTAACATATGTTCAG